CTTGTATCTAAGTCTTCCACTGCGCTATAAAGCACCATTTTGTATGTATCAGGATGTACACTGCTGGTTGAGATTTCACTAGCACTGCATTGTCCATTCAGTCCTTTTCATTACATTGCGGATCCTCGGTTATATATGTACATCGCCGAACTGGGCATGTAACAGCGGTCTGGTTTTGGCCATTTCTGTCTCTGGATTTTATGATTTTTATGATTTTATCCCATCACCTGCACCTAAGCTGGGGGTTGTTTGTTGGGGGTTCCCGTCCTCTTTTTTTGGAGCGCGTAATCAAAGGAGCAGAGCCTGTTTTTGAAAAAATAAAATTGCCAAAATTGCCAAAATTGAACATTTAGTATTTTAGTATTTAGAAATAAATTGAGAAATGGAATCCCTACTTCAAACCCAACTTCCGCTGGTTTTGTTGGCAATCACCTCGCATAGCGTCAGGGAGAAAGACTTTTATTATTAAAAAAGAAAAAAAAAAAAAAAGAAAAAAAAAAAGAGAGAGTCTTTGAGGCACGCAGGCAGACAGAAAGCATGGGACTAGAAGATGGAATAGGAAGAAGTGAATGCTGTCTAGACTCTAGAGTGTAGGTCATCTTTTCCTTCTGGTAAAAAAAAAAAAAAAAAAAAAGAACTCCTTGTGAGTCATACTTTTGTCTCTCTGTCTGTGTGTGTTGGATACAGGACATTTGGAACCATATCCACCTACATATGGTCCTCCATGGTGGCGGGACGGCTCTACGATAGAGAGCTAGACAGATTAGAGCTACTGCACGGGCCGACTGTTCGCGTGAGAGAGGGCGAACCCACTTGTTATGGACCGGCTTGCTTTGGAACTGCGCTCACAATTTTCAGTATTGCTTCCGCCGTAGGAGCAGTTGCTGCAGCAGTGCTTGCATGGCGATGTCACAATCAATACAGACGTAAAGAAGCCCAAAGACGACAGCTTGCGCAAGCAGTTCACCTGGAAGACCTAGAGTTTGTGTCCTAACTTCGGCCGTCCACGTGGCAGCAGATATGCGGCCGGCCGTCCAACTCTTCAGCTGAGGACAAAGGACTAAGAACTTATCATCAGGGAGAATTGTCTTTCAAGCTTCTGCTTGGACATCGGCTTGTATCTTTAACTTCCTTTTTCTTTCTTTTTCTTTTTTCGGGCTTGTATCTTTACCTGTTTTTAACCTTCTTCTTGTTCTTTTTCTATCCTGCCGCGGCTATGTTACTTTGCGGGCCTCCCCGATGGTGCTAGTGGTGCCTGCTCTTGTCAGCACCGCTAGCAGCAGCCCGGGTTGTTTTTGTTCAAAAATAATAATAATAAAAAATGTTACTGCCTGTAACATTTGCTGGGGCCACTGAAGTGGAGGGGGGTAGGCCCATCGAGATGGACGTGCAGCCTTCTTCCCCAAGGCAAGGAGGGAGGAGCATGCAGGCAGAGTCTTCCTCCCTTTCTTCTTTTGCACCTGTCTCTTCAGTGAACCCCCCTTCTGGAGGCCCTCCCTTTCCAGGGGATAGCTGGAAAGGGACTCTTTCGRGGGGGGGRGGGGRGGRGGGRGGGGGGGGGGGGGGKRGGGGGGTATCTCTGTGTAAAAGGAAAGAAGAAATCTCTGTGTAAATTAAAGAAGAAAATCCCTATGGAAGGAAATAACTGAAGCTGTCTCTCAGATACCCTTACAAGTTCCAAAGAGCTTGGGGTGTCTATAGAGAGGGCTGCGTGGAAATAACAGGTGAGGGTAAGTTCCCTGAAGGTGGGGGGGCTTTTCTCTTTTTTTTTTTCCCCCAGTGGAAGGGCTTCTGGTGTCCGGAAAGGGAAAGGTGAAAGTCAGCTGTGGAAGGAAATACCAGGTGAGCGTGCTCTCTGGTTCCTTGTCCCAAAGGGCTTGGGGGAATATCATTCAAGTTTGCATGATTGCCCCTAACCTTTCTTACCCCTAACCTTTGCTCCGTCCTTGGGAGAATGTTTTTCTTCAACAGTTTTATTTTATTTTTTGTTTTGTTTTGTTTTCCTTTTTCTTGTTCTTCTTCAAGGTTTGAACTCTGAGTTTGAAAGATTGCCCCTAACCATTTCTTCCCTCTTCCACCTTGCCCTTCACATACACAGAGCATATCGGGCAGACAAACTCGGTAGCCAACCCTTCTCTTGGAACAATGGAAAGTAAATAAGACGGGTAAGAAACAGTCACTTGGGGAGACTGGGATTTATTGACGACAACGGAAATAAGGATCACCGAAGAGACCTCACATAGGTCTATGTGGAGTGTTCACTGAATCAATGCACTGGGGTTCAACTGAGGGGAGAGTCGCGAATAGCTAGGTAGCTACCACACCAGCTTCCTCTGTACACGCAGAAGACTCAGATACCCCCCTCTGCCAATCTCCTTTGCTTTAAAAGTCATCCTTATATTTGAGCAGGACGTTCTCGCTCTTTCTTTCTTCCTTTTCTTTTTCTTTTCTTTTCTTTTCTTTTCTTTTCTTTTCTTTTCTTTTCTTCTTCTTCTTCTTCTTCTTCTTCCTTTTTTTTTTTT